TGCCCCGCCGGCCTGCCCGGCCCCGCTCCGGGCACCCGCGGCGCAGGGAGCGTGAGTTCTGTCTGTGTGCTGACTGAAATTACTCCGGAACAGGTATACGTGTGCTTGGTACGGCTTTTTTAACAAGCCACCTGCGAAACTGGGGGTTTCCGTGCTGTCTAGCATCCTTTTTTTGAAAAACCAAAGGATTTGCTTTGTCAACAAAGGGAGAGGAGAATCAATAAAACCCGCTTTAAAGTACATTTGTCTCCATGCTGTGTGACTGACATTGCAGCCGTTCTCTCAGAAGGGCCTCCTGTCTCTCTGAAGCTGGCTGTTACGAAGCTTGTAAGAACTTTCTTAAGTTCCTGTAACTTAAAAACCAGTGTTTTTATTGTTTTTGCTGTGTGTGTCTTTTATTTTTATTGTCCGTCCCACAATATTTCTGGGCCAAGAGGAAACGTCCCGTGAGGAGGGCTGGTGGTAGAAGGGCTGGATGATCCCCACTGTTTTAAGCCGTACAAGAAGATGCCCAAGTGTTGAACGCATTGGTTAGTTCTTTGCTTATACTAACAAAAAGTATTTTGATTCTTTAGTCCCAGCTTAAGCAAATGGATGAACGAGGAAGAACCTCCTCTCCTCTGGTGCGTAGGGATGTTGTATTTCACCTTCAGAACGTGCTGGAACCAAGTCTGTACTAGAAACAGCTTTTGAAAGACGCACGTATACTGAGATATTGCCCGAATGGAAGGTTAAGGTAACTGTGATAACATATCCACCAAACATGAGCGTAGCTTATCGCTGGTAGAGAGTAAGTGCTGGAAGAACTCTCAGTTTCTTTCCCCCCTCTCCTTACCACCTCCTTGCTGTCCTGGAAGCACCTGTTACAGGAAACTGCAGTAGGAAAACCTGCTACAGTTTCTCCGTGACTTCGGGACAGACCTGCGTCTTCCTCTGAAAGCCAAGAATCTCTCAGATCGTGAGCAAAAGTAACCACTTAAGCAGACTTCTTAAATCCAGTAACGTTTTCATAAAGTAGCTGTAAAGCTGAACATTTTCTGTTTTCTTTTATAGTCATTACAGAAAGTAAAATACGTGTTTCTTTTTGCTTTCAGGTACTGATGTTGTACTAGTCTTGTTCCTCCGCTTCAAGTCAGTATGTCGAAGAAATCGGAGGCTCCGCTTTCCTTGTCTGACTGCCTCTGCCAAATTTGCATGGAGATCTTCGTGGAGCCTGTGACGCTGCCGTGCAACCATACCCTCTGTAATTCTTGTTTCCAGCTGACCGTTGAGAAAGCCAGTCTTTGTTGCCCTTTTTGTCGTCGTCGAGTCTCTTCCTGGGCACGGTATAATGCCCGCAGAAATACTCTTATCAACTCTGAACTCTGGGAAAAGATTCAGAAGAGTTACCCAAAGGAGTGTGAGCGTAGGATTAACGGGCAGGATTTGGAAGAGGAAAGTAAGTAAAATGTCAGTTGTACTGGGATGTCTTTGCTTTACCAAAGTAATTGCTGTTCATGGACTTTGGATGTTGTGAAATAAGAAGCTGTGCATAGACAGGCTGTATTACTGTTGGAAAACACAGTGTCAGAGCTCTCCTGTGAAAGGGGCTTGCAAGGCAGAGAAATGGACGTCCGTGCCTTTCTCGTTTGTCGTACAGAGGGTGAGTTATATTGTCTGGTCATTGGAGATCTGTACATGTGTTTTGCACAAAGCATTGGTGTGCGGCTGCCTGTCCTTGCAAGGGCGGTAATTCCTTACTGTTACAACTTCAGCTGTGAAACGTGTAAGTGGAGTATTTGCATGTGTGTCTGTGTGTTTATCACTATCAAATATGTGAAGTGGTTAATTTTTTTTCAACTCTTAGATGCTGTTAATTAGTTTGGTTAGAAATTCCAGGGCTTCAGTCTATGCAGGAATCTCTGAGTGAGCCTAAAATTGTGGTGTCAGAGAAAAGGAGGTGAAATCTGATTAACTCTTTGAAGAAGGATTTTGGATTTTATTATGTTGTAAGCTCCATTGGGGAAGGCTGATTGGTGCGTTGGCTCTATGCCATACTGTTCCACTTGCAGTATTATGAAGTCTTTTTAATCACAAAAAACAAAAGGCACAAGTTATGGTCAGCATACTTTTTGCTGTATATACAGCGCTTAGAAAATGCTGGCTGTTCTTGCTATTCTGTAACACAGCGATTTTTTTTTTTTACTTCATTCCTTTGTAAAACAAAGTGCTTTTTTTCCACAGCACTTGATTTAGGTCAAATCATTCCTGTGACAGGGTATGGAAGTGATCTTTTGTTAAAAATCTTTAGTTGTTGACTGTCATGATCTTGCGTTGTTCCTCACTTCTTTTTTTGCTTCCTCTCCTTTAGTCTGTGTGCCCCATCCGCAACATCAGCTGAGCAAGCCTGGCGAACTGAGGCAGGAATATGAAGCAGAGATTAGCAAGGTAAATCTAAAAACATAGTTAAAAGCATAAATGCTTTGTACCTGGTTAATTTAATTGTTCCCACAAACTTTTGTAATGCTATTTAATGAAAAAGAAAGATAGTTAAAAAGGCATTGCTGCTGCAAGAACACCCAAAGAATGCATTGAATTTTTGTCCTTTATGGAAGAGGAGACACTTTCTTGTGTTTGACAGGAGATGACACTTCTGGAGTTTTCTTGCGCTAGTTGACCTGTACCTCCTACCTCACCCTCTCAGTCAGTCCAGTAACATACGCTGTCTTGTTGTCCCTGCAAGTAGGGGTGCTTTGCAGGCTAGGAAACACGTAGAGGTGCCGACACGGCAGAATGGCCAGGCACGTCTCTCAGTCAACACCTCGCATTTCCCAAAACTCTGCAGAAGAGTTCTTTCAAGGTTAGAGTGTCACCTTTCACTGTCTGCATCCCTGCCCACGCATGCTCAAATGGCTTTTATAGATCCTGAGATGCACATAAAGTATTTTGGACTAGCAAATGTGAAAACTCGGAACTGTTCTGGCTTTGGTATTTTACTTGCCTTCTTGATTTCCCTCCCTAAGTAACAGCACAAGTAGATGAACTTGCATAATGAACATACAGCATCTTCTTTCTTATTTGCTCACTCCCTGTGTTATCTGTGTTCATTTGAAAATCAGAAAAGATTTTTAAGAAATCCTAATGTTTTCCTGTGTAAGCATCCTGCTTCCTTCAGTTCAGACACAGCAGTAGTAAGAATCATCGTTGGAAATAGTATCGGAGTGCTCCTTTCCCTGACAGCCCTGTTGCTGGCTGTTACAAGAGCAGGGGGAGTACGTGAAGCAGAGGACTATGGGATTCTCTGTTATGGTAGTTATGGGGTAAGATTGATTGGCAGCAATCATGTTGATGGTTAATGGGGATGGTGCCAGTGAAATAAGTAATGGTGTCTGGTGCCAATCATAAGACATCAATACATGATTTGAACAAACTCAGCCTTAACATAGCTTGTGTAGTTTTACAGTGTGACACTCCTCTCTAAAGCAAATTTCAAATTGTGTTACCCTGTTAAGAAAGCTTTGTTCATTCTTGAAGTACTTTGCTGTCCTTGTGGAGTTGCTGATAACTGATTTACCAAGAATGGGTGTCTGCCATAAAGAAAGGAGATTTAAAATTCTTGGTCTGCTCCTTTGGGTTTTGTGTGTTTCAAGAGAGCACAGGGACTCAGTGAAGAGATGCACTGTCTTCTAGGCATCTTGTGCTAATACTGACGTGAAGATGATATAAGCAGGTTGAGCAAACATTGTGGTCTAGCTGGCATCCAGCCTTATAAAGAATCTTAATTTCAGTTTCTCTGTGATCCATGTACTTGGAGATCTTAGTTTTTGTTACCAACATTTTCAGAGGTAAGTAAATGAATTTTAACTTTGCATGCTGGCATGGTGAATGGTGTAGTCTTACAGAAACCAAAAGGTAGGTAGGTCACTGTTATCAAACTGAAGACTCTACACTCGGTGTCGGTTTGATTGCTATATGTTTGGAGAGCTGTGTAAATACTGGCACTGAAGTGTGCAGAGTGTCGTGAATAGTGGATTGTTCACATTTAAGATGCGTCAGCTGAGAGATTCTGGTGTAAAGTGTGGTCCTACAGTAGTAACATTTTAAAAAAATCTTTTTTAGGTGGAGGCAGAAAGGCGAGCACACGAACAAGAGGAGAACAAGGCAAGTGAGGAATACATTCAACGGCTTCTAGCAGAAGAGGAGGAGGAGGAACACAGATTGGCAGAAGAGAGACGAAGGGAGATGGAGAAACAGCTGAAGCAAGATGAAGAGTTGGCCTGGCAGCTGAGCAACAGTCTGGTGAGTTAGGATCAAGGGGGACAGTAGGAAACGTTTAGTGCAAGCAATTTAGACTTTTCAGAGCAAAAGTTAAAATTTTGAGTAATTTAAATTTATTTTAATTGTAGTTGGAAGCTGTTGGCAGCCCTCAGTACTTTAGATCCTTGATTAACCATTAACTTTTGAAGAACCAGTGGGAGGGTGAAACACCCCAAACATTTCCACCTGTGTAACATGCACTTGAAATGTGTGCTGGATGTTTTCATTGTGAAACATTTTAAAACAATGGTTTTCTTCTGAATAATTCCTTTTCCCCATGATTTTAAAAATACTTCTTTGGAAGAAACTGATGTCTGTAACCTCTACTGAAAAAAAGGAACCATACGAAGAAAGTTTGACTTACGTTTTGGGCTATTTTGTTTCGTTGGTTTGGTTTTCGGGGGTTTTTTAATTTGTTTTGGGGTTTTGGTTGGTTGGGTTTTGTTACCTAATAATAGTCCTAATGATGAAACTTGTGTACTTATTTGAGCAAAACCTCTTGTCCCTTTATGCCAGACACAAGAAAATGTTCAGAACATGAAACATTTCTTATTCCTTAACTATCCATTGCTTACAGTTCTAGAATTCTTTGGGCAAAAGTAACTAATGCTGCAGCAGCAGCAGCAAAATAGTTCTCTACTTTTTCTCCAATTTGTGTTGTGTTTTGTTTTATATAATGCTATTTTTGCTTGTCATCAAAGAATGACGATTCCAAAGGACATGTGCTCGGTAGTCCTTCACCAGCGGGCAGTCCCTCATCTGAAACGTCCCCAGCTAATTTGTGCAAGATGAAGAACAAACCAAACAACTCTGGAGACATTCAGAAGTAAGCAATTCAAGTTTTTCTTCTTGAAGTATCAGTCTGTTTCTTGGTATAGTGTCCCTCTGCTCCATTTGCTTCCTTGGAATCCTGTAGTCCAACTTCCCTGGATAATCTGGGGGAACTGTAAACTGTTGAGTCTTAAAACATCTCCTCATAGGTTAATGTGGGGGAGAAGGGAAACACTTGCCTTTCTTTTGTTGTTTTTGTTTGTCAGACTGAACCTGAAGATCTTGATTAATGCAAAGGACTGGCAATTCAAGAAAAAAGTTTAAGCACGTATACATTTTTTTTTTTCTCTTTAAGGTATCTGTCTCCAAAGCTTCATCGTACCTCAGGATCAGCATTGTTCTCTAGAACAACAGAAAGAGGCAGGAGTTACTCTGGCTCTGTGGTAAATAGAATAATTTTGTTATAAATCTCAGTGTTGGTAATTGTGGGTTATTTTCCCCTTGTGCGTAGGATTGCCAGTCAGCACTGGGCAGTTCATCTTGCCCTTCTTGAACTATCTTCAGTATTCATGGTTGCCCACAGTGGAAAGGGAAGAAACCGTGCTTGACAGTCCGCAGATGCATGCCTGCAGCTTGCTTTGATAGTTACCTTGTACAGCTGTACACATACCTTACCTGAATGTCTTCAGTGAGCTCCGAGTTGCAATCAATGGTGTATAAAACTAAAATGATGGTTCTGGAGCTCACTGGAGGGGGTTGCACTCTGATTTTCATCATTCCATATGTCTGTTCTGTGTGATCTTTCCTGTTAGGCTTCAAAAGAAGATGAGCAGGCTAATACTTTGAACAGTTGATTTGGGTCATTGATAAGAGGAGAATGATGCAGTTGTGTTTTCAGTCCTTTAGCTAGGCTTCTGTAGGTTGTTCTAAATATTTTAATTATTATGAAACAATTATGTATTATTTTTAAAAGCGAAGAATCCGAGTTAATATCCCAGAGTAGTTATGAGCAGCGCAGCTATGAGAAGTGAGATTTGCATTGTGTTCATACCCGCTGGCTTTTGATAAATTTATTAGTGGTCTCTCCCTTTTCTTCAGGAGACCAACAGCAACGAAGGCAGCAGTTCTGCCTGGCAAGATGAGCAAGAGGAAATGCCAACACTGTCCCCACAGCTGACCGGTGTGATTAAAGATCCCAGTGCTAAGGATTTGTTTTTGGAATCATGCATGAACTATTTCAGTGCCTCAGCTTTAGGGGAAACTGCCGCTGTCAAGCAGGAGGAAACACGAGGACCAAATTGTCTAGGAGACGAAGTTCCAGATGCACTTCACGGAATTGCAAAAGGAGAACAGTCTAGAACAGCTCTTCGTAGATCCAAAGGAGAAGATGATGGAATTGAGTCAGACAGTGGCAGTTTAACACCTGTAGAAAGCATAAACTGTGAAAACTCTGCTGAAATTTGTGCACGTATTCAGTCAGCAACAAATTCTGTGGTGTCTGGCAGCAAAAGTGTAATATGTGGTCTCATGGAAGTGGCTGGGCACTCAGATGAAGAGAAACCAGAGAAACTGCAGAATACTAAGGAGACTCCAAAAAGAAAGTCACAGGAGCCACCAGCTGAAGCAGTGGTTGACTTGTGCGTACTTGATAAGAGGAGAAGAACTTTTCCAGAAAGTTTAGAGGACCAAAGTGATTTTGACTTGCAAATGCAGAAAGCTTTTGAGCAGGAGTTCTATGACAGACGTATGCAGGAGGAGCAGGACAGGCTTCTGGCTCTGGAACTACAAAAACAGCTCAACAAGGAGGAAAGGACACTTAACCGACAAAAGGGCTCTCCAGATGAGTACCTTCTTCGCACTAAGCCACCTCAGTCTGTGAAAGACTCTCCTGCTGGAAAGGGAAGTTCTAAGGTGGCAAAAGACTCAAAGGCACCAAAAAAGCAGGCTGAAGCAAATCACCGCAAGACTCGGAAAAGTTCTTGCAATGAAAACTGGCAGTCCCCCACCAGAGTCCGAATGAAATCGCCCAGCATCCAGGGAGGAAAAGTTTTGAATTGCGTGGTTAATACCAGTGACTCAAATGAGATTTGTTCATTACCTAAGAATAAGCAAAAGACGATCCTTCAGATGTTTAAAAGCTCTGTTGTGGAGTAGATCAACAGAATGACAGACACGTGATGGAATGAGAATTAAAACTGTGGTAAAGCGTTCTTCTGTATTAGGCAAAGCTTCCTGTAAACTGTTTTAAGGTTGTTGGTTTTGGGGGGGGATTGCTTTGAGTCACAAAGTTAGGTATTCTGAGAAGTTTTAATAACGTACGCCCCCAGACTTCAAAAAAATTTAATTGGTCTTTTTGTGACTACAGCTTATTTTCTAGCAGTTACTAACCCCTTTCTTAGACAATGAGGGAAAACCCAGGTCATTCTCCCACTGTCAAAGCCAAGGATCTTTCAGAGATGCCAACAGTGGTTGTGGGCTTGTATTTACCTCTCTTCATAGAGGTCGCTTCTGCAGATGTGACTCTCACTGTTGTTAGGAAAAAGACACTTTTGTTTTCTTATTGATAGTGTTATGCAACTGTATTCTTGTATGATAATATTACCTATATTTAGTGCGATTTAATTTCCATACTTGGACTGGTTTGATTAAGAACACATAATATTAAAAAAATAGTCCAGAAGACAGTTATGATAGGGAACGTTCAACCAAAAAGGGCAAAACCAACTGAAAACTGTAGTTGTCACTAATGACATAACTGTAATTAAAGATTCACATAACAAGTAGAGGGACTACCAAACACTGCCTTCCAGGTGGGTTTGAAGCTAACATCATTCGAAAGAATTACCGTTTGGACGTGGGGAGGCCGAGGCCTGGAGAAAGTTGAGGCAGGGGAAGAGGTGACCAGCTGCCACTCAGAATAGCTCAGCATAGGAAGTATTCTTGCTAGGTTGTGTGATCTGTTGCTATTACAAAACCATTTTTTGGCCTTTCTTTGCTTGTAATTAGATACTTTTCCACTGTAGGTGTTTGTAAGAGAGCAAAGCACCAATCTACATTGCTGAAGTGTGTGCGCTAGTCACACAAGTTTGCAAACGTTTTAAATGTGTACATTTTTTTGGACCTCATTGATGATCTATAGACTTGCAGTTCTGGGAAGTTTGTAACAAAGCAGTATCTTCTGATGTTTTAAGTTAAAAAAAAAAAAAACAACTGAAATTTTATTGCAAGCATGAACAGCACACCAAGCCAAAAATGTGAATTGTTTTGGTTTTGGGGTTTTTTTGCCTGCCAGTCTCTATTAATGGTGGGTTTCTCATAAATACGTGAGCTATTCTGAGACACTTTTTGAGAAAGTTACAAGAGGTGACCTGTTGCAAATTACTCACTTTTCATTTTGCTGCCTCAGCCAATGTGCTGGAAGCCTTCCTTCAATATAGATCTGTTCTGTTTAATCCTTACCTTTGTTCGGGTTGTTTTCTGTCTTACCCAGGGAGTTAAGTATAGTCTTTCATTGATTAAAGTGTTCTTTAAGGCAGAGCTATCGACTGTTTTCATGCTAGTGACACTGGGGCCTTTGCAGTCATGATAAGCATGCAAGAAGTAACCTATTTTCAAAACAGATGAGGAGAAAGAATTTATTTTTTAAGTCTCTGTTCAGCCTCATTTTACAATCAATTTCTGAAGCCTGGTGTCTATTTTTAAATTGCTTGAAAGATGGCCCTGCTTCTGGCACAGAGCTCCTCCTTCCCCGATCACATCTCCAGATGACTGCATGCTCCTCTGATTTATTGCCGTTTTGGTGCAATGGGTTGTTTAGGATTTCAGAGCAGGTTTGGAGCGGTGGCCTCTTCCCACACAGGTCACGCCTGCAGCCATCTGCTGCCAAAGCCCTGAAGTTCATGCTCATCTCAATCGCGGCCTTCGATGGCTGGCACTGAAAGGGTCTGAAGTGCAAGTGTTTTGAAATGCTGGCCGTTCAGATGTAAGACATAATCTTGCATGTATTACAAATTCTAACCCTGGTTAATTGGTGTATTTTTCTCAGATCAGCCATCATTATACTCCAGTCCAGCGAGTTGCTCTTACGATCAGGTCCTGATCTTTGATAGATACTTGTAGAGGATGTGGAAAAGAGCAAATTGCAGCAATAAGCAGAAAAGCAGGAGCAGAGCGTTGAAGTAAACAAGAGAAGAGGAAGAAAGGAGCATTCTGTTGCCAGAAACTGCAAGCGCATGGACAACCCATAATCAGCAATTCCATTAGCTTGCTAGCGCGTGATGTATCTGCAGATTGGTTAGAAGCTTGGTGGGACAACTCATGCAAATAGCTGCCTTTATCGGGATGGAAAGGTCCCAGGGGACTAACGTCCAGGTAAGCATGTATAAAACACTGCCTGCAAAATAAACTTTACACCACAGGTTGAGTCCGTGCTGTAATATGCCACAGATACTTGGTGACAAAGAAAGGAAAGCAAGCATGTGTGGTGATTCAGGTACATATCCAGATAAATGCTAAAGAGCTGAAAGGAGTGAAGCTAGAAGTAAACAGCCTTAATCTTCATTAGGGTTAAACTTAATGTACTGCTCTCTTGGGGCTAGCTCTGTCCCTGTAGCAAGCTGACACTAAGTAACATAGACTTAGTTGTAAGATACGAAGCCTTTTGTTTAAAAAATGCAGTATGAGAGCTTACCAAGTCTGGACACTAAGTAACATAGACTTAGTTGTAAGTTACAAAGCGTTTTGTTTAAAAAATGCAATATGAGAGCTCACTAAGTCTATCTAGCTGAGTACACCTCAGCAAAGCACAGTGAGCTGCTCTAACAGCTCGCTGCCCATGCCAGGGTTCCTACGCTTGTGCCGGCTTCGGCATCTCTCTCCACGGCCTAATTCCAGGTGTTGAAGGGGCAGGGGAAGGATCGAGGGGGGAGAGGGCCAGGTAGGGGGGACAATTGCCCTTTCTGGCAGCGATGAGCCTGCACATGAACCCATGTCCCCGTATACAGGCTTGCCACATTTTAGACCAGTTTCATTCCCTTTTCCCCCACAAGCTGTTTTGTGGATTCTTTCTTTTCCATTTTAATGTGTCAGTTACATGTCTCTTCCATATAAGATTTATGAAATGCACTAAACTAATGCCAGTTAGAAGTTCAATAAGGAAGGGGGCATTTTGCATCTTACTCTTCAGTCTCACAGTGACTCAATTCCTTGCCGTTGTCACCCGAAATTGAAAATCACTCCCAAAACACACAAAGTATGCTTAGAGAGGAGATACTGTGTTATTCTGCGCAGGGTGCAAGGTGAAAGATTTCCACAAAACAAGCACACACGCTTAGAATCACATTGCATATTTATGCAACAAAAAATGTTTAAAAAATGTTAGTACTTAGTTATTAGCCATACCCTTCTAACTACACTTGGTTAGTTCCCTTCTTGCCTCGGTTTAAAGATAGAGTACTCCTAAAATTCACTAGGCGTGCTCAGTGGGTAAGGGTCTGTGCCTGGGCTGGGCTCTCCAGCTCAGGGGGTGTGATTTTTAGTATTATAATAAGGGTAGTTCAAATAAGGATACGTGAATTCTCAGTTGTTCTGCCCAGTTTGCAGCATATGTAAAACATGCTAATTAACTGTCCTTCTCAAGGTTCAGTTGCTCCAGCATGTCCTTGGTTAAAGTTACTAAGTGTTCTCCTGATTAGAGATGATTTAATGTCCTCAAGTTGTCAGAAATCTCCTGGGTTGAACAAGTGTGTAACCATCAGGTGTTCCTTATCTGGAACGCTGGCTGCTACTCAGTTTTTCATGAGTTAGTTTACAACCTTAGTATTAAACTGTTAGTTCGCCTTCTTAAAATATATCCAAATGTTAGTCAGCAAGGTACACCATCAATAACAAATCCATTGAAAATCAATTTAAAAATTACAGAAATTAGCCGTTTCAAAGGTCTAAATAGTACACAGGGGTATTTTGGTGCATGTCTGTATTGGAGTGTGTGTTAAAGTATTTAGGAATTTTTTGCGGTTTTCCAGCTTACTGGATTTTGTTCTCAGTGTAAGAATGACCTCTTACATAAGAATCTTTTTTGTTTTTAACCAGGGTGGAAAAAAAAGCAAGAATAAAACATCAATCATTAGTTAAAACCCAACTTTACAAAACTGGTAACTTCTGTCAGAGGGCCAGGCCAGCAGCCTCATCCAGGGTGGGGTACTGCAAGCCCTCATGTCCCAAAGACAATCACATTCCTCACTGCGTGTATGGCATAATAATGCTCATCAGACACCTCTTCAGACTGTCCTTTGAGATTTTTCATGTTAGAGGGTGGAGTTTGGCCACAGCTGAGTGTGTTCTGGTAGCACCAGCACTCTGTCTCCATTGCTACTCTCTGGGAACTTCGAAGCGGATGAAATCAGCTTTGACTTTTAATTTGTTAAGCAAGAGTCCGTACTTAGGCTGTCTGAGCTAGTGCAATGGCTCACTGCTGCTCAAAAGGGTGAGCTCACCTTCTGCCTTCAGCTAGCGCTGGTGGTTTATTTGTCCACTTTGTGAAAAAGTTCAGCTCACCAAACTGAGAGGGGAAAAAAAGCAAGTACCGAAAAACCCAAAGACTTCAGCAGGCTTGGTTGCTTCCCTCAGAGCCAGAGCTGGTGTGGGAATGGGAGGTAGGAAGAGGAGCAAGAGAGGGAACAGATTTAGCTGTTTTCATGGCAGCAAGTTTTTAAATTGTCTTAGACTTCTAGGGAAACCTCTGCTTTCTGTGGTACTCGCTTTGGTTGACATTTGTTAATGAAAAGGTGCTCTGTAATACTCCAGCCTGCTGACAGTGTCGCCAGCAAGCCAGCCACATGCCACGCTGTGTTATGAAGCAACTGAAAGCAGCAAAATATTCCTTTGCTAAGGGTGCAATTTCTGCAAGTAGCATAGAGATCAAAACTACCCAGCATGCTCCTTGCTGAGGCTGCTTCTCTTCTGACTTTGAAGAACTGACAGCAAAAATATCCAAATAGCAAGGGCTGCGCTCTAACAAGCTCCCTTGACAGCAGCAGCCACCTCAGGTCCTACTGCCTCCTCCTTTGCAGCACCTGTGGCCCCTGTACGTGCTTCCACGCGAGGGCCGAGGCCTGCCAGACCCCTTGCTTTGCCATAGGCGTCCATGATGACGTAAATCTGTGAGGAAGCTCTGGCCTTGTGTCACGAGCGTTTCAGTACCGCTGCTAAGGCCTTTGCTCCTCGAGTCCCCCGGTTAACGGAGGGTCTGAAATGCAGCGATGGCATTTGAAAAGCCGCGGAGGCCGCTAAGGCGGCGGGGCGGGCCGCGTTGCCACGGCAACTCCCGCCTCCCCGG